TATGGAGCATATTGCAAGGGTACAAGTCAAATCTATCAAGTATTGAACACAAATGTCTTGACACTGTCATTAAGTAAATGAGGTGAAAGCTATGTTAATTAGTAGGATGTAAGCACGCCAGTTTGTACAAATAATCAACACATTGAATCCCACAAAGGCATAAATGCATTCATGATCTATGTATATATGACTTAATCAAAAAATTAAAGTTTAACAAGCAAAAAATAAAAAAATTCACAGGCTATATCCCTAGAATATGATTCCAAAATCTGGGACAGGACTCAAGAACTTGCACTGTAACCAGTTCCTGGGTGATGCTGGCCTGGAGACCATGTGTTGAGAACTCTTCACTCAGAAATCCAGTTCCTCAAACATATCACAAACCATGGTGTCCATATTCTGTTTTTAAGTACTTTATTATTCTCTTGCATCATCCAGAATACCAGCTACTTATTGGGCAAAAGGAACTTCACTGAATCACATATCATCATGGCCTCTACAGTTCTTTTTTCCCTGATTCTTCCATTTACTGTGTATGAAGGTGTGGTCTAGCTAATAAGCTTTGTAAAGCCTCATTTCTTTCATCTCTAAGTTGGAAATAAAAGTCATACCTTTATGTTGAATGTTAAAAGTTGATAATCCACATGAAATGTCAAATGGAATACTGCCACATAGCTAAAACCCACTGAAAGTCAGCTAAAAACCATTCTCTTAGAGCCTAACTTATAGAGGAACCACATTTAACTGGGAAATTGAAATAAGGTAAAATGTTAATAGCTCCCCCCTCCCTCCGCCAAATCCCTAAATTTAAATGGAGTCTTCTCCTTCCATTTTGAGTGTCAATTAGTTCATTGAGAAACAAATTAGTGACCCAAATCTTTAAGTCACACAGTCATTTCCCCTCCCCACCCCAGTTAACAGTCACTGGAAAAGGAAGGTGTCATTTGTAATGACAGCAACCATTATTGAGCACATGATGCTTGGACTGGTTTTGCCCAATCCTCAAATCTTTCGGAGATGCATATTACCCCATTTTAATAATGACCTAGTTAAGTAGCCTAAGGTCACATCAGTAGAGGCAGAGACTCAATTTGAGGCCAATGACCACCATCAACTATGTTCAAGTGAAGATCTGTGGAACCCATATCTGATTACCTGAACCACTATGTGGAGAGCCTCCCAAGGGAAGATCTCTCAAACCAAAGCACTAATGGGGGTGGGGGGGGAACAACCTTATGCTCCCAAAGGATCCTTGCCTGGAAAAAGGAAACAAATAGCTGGTATTCTGGATGATGCAAGAGAAGCAGGAACCATAAACAAATAACCTCAGAGAGGATGACATCAAGATTCTGGGACTTTCTTCAAATTCAAGGCCCTTAGGTATGATTGTCCAGGTTGGTCACTGCTCAAGGCAAATGGAGCTGAATTTTGGCCTGTGATCTATCCTTGAGCCACCTGCCCGGTCATTATTTTGGGCTCACTCAAAATAAGACTTCTAATTTACACAAAATTGCTGTTCTGACCTGTGGCAGCTGTTTGCATGATGAGAGTTTTTGGTGCTGGAGACAGATATACCTGAGATATTGCAGGTTACATTTCGGGTGTCTCAAGATCTCACACAAGGAAGGGAACGCGTCATCCTGGTCATTGCCTTGAAGGGTCAGATTGGTTAGAGTCTCGTTATGAATGAAAGTGAAGCAGAAGTTCTGATAAACGTCAGCTGGGGAAACGTTTTTGAGTCTAAGGAAAAGAAAACAAAGGTGGCATCCTGAGTTCTGGTACCCACACTGTACATACACAGAAACAAAAGCATCCATATATTTAAACATTAGAAATTTATTTTTCTCCATGTTTAAATTTTCTCCCCATCTTTACAGAGCACATATATGCTCAATCCTCAAATCTTTATAGAGATATTGACAAAAATTGTACATATTTAAGGTATTTGACTTAGAGTTTTGATATGTATATTTGCTTTGTGAAATACTTGCCACAATCAAGCTAATCAACATTTGTCGGCTCGGTGCCCATAGCACAGTGGTTATGGTGCTGGCCACATATACCGAGGATGGCAGGTTCAAACCCAGCCTGGGCCAGCTAAAAAACAACAATGGCAATTTCAACAAAAAAATACCCGGGCATTGTGGTGGGCGCCTCTAGTCCCGGCTATTTGGAAGGCTGAGGCAAGAGAATCGCATGAGCCCAGGAGTTGGAGGTTGCTGTGAGCTGTGACGCCACGGTACTCTACTGAGGGTCATAGTGAGACTGTCTCAAACAAACAAAAACAAACAAACAAAATACCCTATTGGTCATCTTGCATAGCTTTTTGTGTATATGGTGAGAATACTCAAGATCTACCCTCTTAGCATATTTTTTTAAGTGTCCAATACAGTATTGAGAACTGTATCTCAATTGAGATACAGTATTGAGAATTGTATCCACGTTGGTGTCTGTTATCCCCCTAGAATGTATCCATTTCTCAGAACTGAAATTTTGTACCTCCAGACCAACATGTCCCTTTAGAAACTATAGAAGATCCAATGTCTCTTTTCCCTGAAGCATTACCAATAGGAACATTTTCATGAACTATTTCCTATGGAAGATAGAGTTCCTTCCTTCAAGGAAGATAGAGATGCCTTCTTTTCAAGGAATTCTCTTTGCACTTAGAATCAGGAGCCCATGGCCAATGTAACCCTTAGTGGGGATGGCTCTTTACTTATTTCTTTCCATTGAGAAAGAAAAATACAAAAGAAGGTGTTTGCAGCTTGGGAAGATCTCAATGAAACTCAGAATTTCATTGAGATGAAAGCCAACCCAGCTGAATAAACTGTGTTTAGCCGCCTTCCCCAACCTCCAACACCAACCCAGATTTAAGCTTGCAAAACTTTCCAAGTACATTCTCCATACAAATGAGTCTTAGATCTAAGATGACTCTGATATGCTATCTTAAGTTGACACAGACACCCTGTGCTCTGAATATCAGTATTTATATTTTCCAGATACTTTCTTGGCTCGACCCTTTCTAACTTTATTCAATGACTATTTTTGTCACATTCAGACAGACATCTGTCCAGCACAAGAAACTTAATGCTTAGTGTTCAGGCATGTCTCAACCTGTTCTCATCTCTCTACCTTAGTGGATCCTAGCCAGGGGTGATTTTGCAATCTGCCCCCTGCCCTGTGATACCCGGAAATATCTAGAAACATTTTTGCTTGTTACACCTGGGGGAAGAGGGTGCTGCTGCTGTCTGGCGGGCAGAGTTCAGGGATGCTGCTCACCATTCTGTGTTTTTCCTGATTTCTGACCCCCCCCAAATACAGAGATATACAGCCCCAAATAATAACACGGGTTGATAAATTCTGCCCTGCATAGAGTCCTACTGTTGTCAGAACAGGATGAAAAAATCCCCTAGGATCTTGACATTCTTTCTTATAGTGTTTTGTGGACATCCAAACTGTATTTCACACTGTATTAAAAATACTTCCTATGAGCTGGGCATGGTGGTGGCTCAGGCCTATAGTCCTAGTACTCTGGTAGGCCGACTTGAGCCCAGGAGTCTGAGATTGCAGTAAGCTATGCTGATACCATGGCACTCTAACCAGTGATAGAGACAGACAGTCTTAAAAAAATTTTTATATATACTACACATATGTGTGTAGTACATATATACACACACGTATGTCATAGGAAGTATATATATACACATATACATCTTATTATTCCACTAGACAAATGTAAGGCTAAGACTCTCTCAATTCCTTGTGTCTTGGGCACCTGGTGGGGTTTGGGACAGAAATTTGAATATTATTCTAGTACTAAAATAGGTAAGAAACCCAGTCATGCCCTAGGAATTCTGATCTAGGGATTGTTTTCTACTTACACCACTTTCTGAAGATTACAGGTGGCAGAAGCTATTTGTTCACAAAGAATCCTCACTGATGAGGTACTAAGGAAGCTCTGACTGATTTTCAGAAATATCAGATTCTCATTTGAGCCAAAAATGGAACAAAGTTCTGTCCAGAAGGAAAGTATGTGTTGATCATCCTGGGATCTATAGGGAAGAGAAGGACGGGGTTATTGACCCAACATTTACCCATCATAGCAAAGGCCATGAATTTCTCTGGGCATACACCACTAATAAGTGATTATAACTTCAACGGTGGCATGATCGAATCATTTACTACCACTATCAGGCAACATATACCCACATAGTATTACTGGAGAAATTGTACTTCTTATACCACAATCAATAGAGGGTAAGAATAAATTAAAATTCTCTTCAATTAAAATTGATTAAAGATTGATAACCATATGTATATTAGTAAGGGATATGTGAGTACTGAATGGTGCATCCATATACATACTATTGGGTCATTTCTCAAGCTAATTTGCAGTAACGTTGTTGACCTAAAATGGTATCTGTAAAAGACTTGAGAAAAAAAATAATCTCTAGGTAGTTACATAGACTTTTCAAAGAATGTTGGTTTTCTTCTAGTGGTTGCCTCTGGGTGACAGGATTTGCAGAAATCAGGTGTCCTGATTTATGTTTCTCAATCCTGCTTTAATTTTCTGTTTATGTATGGTATCTCTATAATTACAAAAAAATAAAAAAAATTTGATTTTCAAGAAGGTGGTAAAGGCACCTGAAACCACATCAGGTTGAGCCATTTGCAAAAACCGCTCACGCAAGAAGAGGCAGGTCTCAAGACAAGGTCTGACTCAAAGCCTCAATTATTTTGTCACAGTGTTGTACATTGTGCCTCTCACCTTGCATGTTAAGGAACAAAAGTCCAGTGAGAGGGAAGAAGCTGACCCTAAGCAGCAGGGAACAGGATACTGTGGCTGCTTCCCAGCAGAGCATGGGATGAGGCTGAAGACGGAGAACTAGCAGATTAAGACTGAGCTTTTACCTTTCAAGCTGAGTGTGTGGTTCCAATGCAGTGTCGTTCTCCAGGAATATCCCCTTTGCGACCCGTAGTGCGAGTTTCTGCAGGTTCTGACAATGCTTCAGGCAGAATGAAGAGTCTATAACGTCCATTTTATTATTCAAGTGGAGGGACAGTTCCTTGAAGGGGGCCATCGCGCCCCTCACCAGCCCCTCATCCTGAGACTCATAGAGGCAGTACAAAAGCTCCTTCATGTCAGTCCTAGAGAAGGGCTTGTTCTCATCAAAATTTGCTCTATATTTCAGTAATTCCTCCCTAATCTGCAGGAACATCCGGCAGCCAAAAGTC